TGAACATAACTTCCCACTGTGAGCTTAGGAAAACGCCTTTCCTTGTCAGGTCTGTCTTTCAAATATTTGGATTGTCTGTATGTCCACTGAGCTGGAGCACTCTCCTTTATGTAAACTTCTTTCAGTCCTTTGCTTTATAAACGTTAAATACAAAAGTTTAATTCTAGGTTTTCCAGGAGTCTGGCTTTGATCTTGTAATTTGAAATGCCATAATTTTTTTTTTTTTAAAAATCAGGGTCTTAATTAGCCCTGTGAACACTGGAAGTAGGCTCTTAAGCTATATACCACACGTGAATTACGCTCCTCAACTGTACCCTTTAAAAATATTTCTTACGCATCTCATTTTTGAGGAGAACAGCACTCCTCACATGTCTTCAGCAAAGCTTTATAAAGATTTATTCTTGTGTCCCTCATTAAATGCAAACTGCTGTACTGTCAGAGCCAGAGAGTATCAGAGATACGGCTACCTTTTGCTGTTTTTCCTTTTTGCAATGCTTTAAGAAATAAATGGAAGCAGAAGTGAAACCTTTCTCCAGTATGTCTCCATGTCTTTACAGCTGCAGCTCATCATGGGATATACTTAACTGCTTTATTTTTAGACTTGGGGAGTTCCTTTGGTTCTTTTTTGCTTATTCCTGAAAACAGACTAGCTTTCAGTGTTCACTCTGGGATGAAGCTGTTTGCTTTATTCTGTGTTCACTCCCAAGTGACTGGCCTATTAACAAGAGATTTGTGGTGCTCTGCTTTGGCAAGCTCCTTCCTTAAAGATAAGTCCTTAAACATCTGCCAAGATACTTCAGGGTCTGTGTTCAAATTCCTCCTAAAAGCTCTCCCTTGCCACAATCCCTTACAGGAAACTGGAGAAGAGTAAGGAAGCTGGTGTGTAAAGACCTTTTGCCTGTGTTGCTTCTCAGTCCTGTCTCTTTATTTCCTCTTACTTCTGTCTGTATCTCTTTCCAAACAGTCTCAGATCTTACATTTTGACTGTAAGCTGCATAGGGCATGGGGAGGGGGCAATACACTCACACAGGCAGGGGTCCTGGTTGCTACTGGGCCATGTACGGACTATTACAAATAACATGTAGCAAACCCAGCCAGGTAAGGGGTACAATGCAGACCTTCAAGGCTAACTGAGAACTATTAGCATGAAAAGTTGGGAGGCAATTTTCCCTCTGTGTTAGATAACTATAGATGCCCTGAATTTCAGGAAAGCCTGTTGGATATAATTAATTTACAGTAGGGGAAACAAAGCCTAGACTCTAAAAAGGAAATACCAAAATTGTAGAACAAAGAAAAAGGACGCTCACACATCCATCCACACCTCAAATCCTTCTGGACAATCTGCTGGTCAGCAGGAGTGCACAAGAAGACCAATCCCATGTGCTCTGAGAAGTACTGGATGGAGAATTCCTCAGCTAGTGCTGTCCTCGCCTCTGCTGAGGCTGAACTGAGAGCACAGGCTTAGGACTAGAGAGCAGCATCTGTAAATCCAGGTTAGAAGCTGATAGAAAGGCCACATTTCTTAGAGACTTAAAAATCAGTGGTTTTGTGATGTGAATTGTGGTTCCTTCAGGAACCAAGACTGATCCACCAAACTTGGTCATATCTAGGCCTTTACTTACACTAATCACATTTTAGTCCTTTAATGGTAATGAAACAATATTTTTCCAGTCACTGTGTTATTTCCTTTTCCCTTTACCTATTGTTTTGTAGAAAAGATTTTTTCTTCAGCCATACCACTTAGAGGTCTGGATTTTTTTTCAAATGACAGTGCACTTCAAAACCCCAATAGGTTTGTGGCAAACTAACATGGTAAAAACGTGAACTGTTTAACATAATAAGACATGATCTCACACTCTGAGTTTAACAAAATATCCTGAAACCAGATACTTATGCAAATGATAAGCTTCTCTTCTCCCCATTACATCTCAAGCAGTTCACCAAGCAAGTTCCTGTCACAGAAGAAAAAAACATGGGCAGCATGAGACAGGCTTTAAAGTGTGAAAATTAATTTTGTGAATAATAACATTTTGTAACGGGAATTCTGACAGGGTGCCAGCAGGAAGGTTTGCCCTAACAAGCATTCAGTGAAGAAAAGCTATTCAAATCATTAAAATGTGAGCAACTAACCCAAAATGAGAAAGAAACTTACATGAGAAACCTAGTTATTTAACTTACTAGCAATCTGACTAACCACAGTAGTGTAGCCCAGTGTTCAGTGTAAATTGCGTATCCCTCTCTGAGCTAAGTTCAAAGAGGCCGTGAGACCCGAACCACTCTGAAGCTGATTCCGCAGTTTAAGGCTCTGCAGCTTAGCTCTGCAAGGCCCTCACTCCCCTCCCCTGCTCTCACACTTTGCTATGGTAGCATATGTAAAGTATAAAGGTTTCCTGTGACCTGGGGATTAATATCACCCCTAAGAACAAAGAGTACTATAATATAAGTATGTGCATTAAAGGAAAGATTTATCTTACACTGAGCTTTTGGACACAGCAAGTGCAAAGCACAGGCTGTTGGAGGCAGCCTGAGGAATATCCTTCCTGAGAGACCTTCTGAATCTCAAAGTCAAAGGGAGGGCTCTTCTTTCACCCATTCCCTTGCCCTGGCCCTAGGCCATGTGTCAGGTTCCAGTTATGGGGAAAGGGTGGAAGAAAGAAAGTTCTCAAGATGAGGAAGTCAGGGCAGGAAGATACCAGACTACACAGACAAGAAGGCACAGTAACTAGGTAGAGATAGGTCCTATGGCTGTAGACCACCAAGCATGGCTGTGATATACAGGGAAGGTGGACCAAGCAGAAGTCCAGAGACTCTTCATCAGCAGAAGAGTAGTTAGAAGAGGGGCACAGCAGAGAGAAAAGGCATCCCCAGCGATTCTTGTGGATCTTATTTTAGGAGGGAACTCATTCAGTTACCAATACCTTGTTCCATGCCATAATTGAGCTGGGAAGGATGGGAACAGTGAAGGAGAAATCTTATTTGGAACAAGATCTCTATTTTACTGCATCATCCATCTGCTATCTGCATACATTACCTCAAGATCCAAAGTCTGATTAGGAAGGGTAGAGGGCACCATAGCAAGGTGATCTCTATCCATTGGGAGGGGAATACTCTGGGCTCACCTCAGGCTGCCCTAGTTGTGAAGACAGAGACGACTTCAAAAGACTCCACAGGGAGACATATTGTGCCTTACTTAGAAAAGCAGCCATCATAACATGAGGCTTTTAAGGAGGAACAGGGTAAAAAGTAAAAAGTGGTCGATCCAAAAAGGCACCCTTAGAACAAAACAACCAGGAAACAAGATGAGTAACAGTGGAAACAGAATGTTTGCCAGAGCAGTCTCAATTGCCAGAGAGAGCAGCACCAGAGCGCTACCTCTCACTCTAGCTGTATAAGATACTGTGGATATGCGGGGCAGTGAGCACTGAGTTTTACATGGCAATCCTTTACAAGTGTTTAGTGGTTAATTGCACCATCAATTTGCAGTCTCAATCAAGTATCAGAAGATGACGTTATGGTTGATGAGGCTCAAATGCATAATTTGTTTAACTGGATACAAAATCCAAGACCATCCAAAAATACATAGGACAGGTAATTTGGTTACTACTCTGGATATGAAAATGTCAGGCATAACCTGGTAATTTCATGCCATAAATCTCACTGATATTCTGGTACATGATGTTGCAATAGCATTTATTTAATATTAAATTTAATATTAAAATTGATTTAAGCTTGTCTAACCAGTAATACAATATGGGCCTGACTCATTATTAGGGTGCAGTTTTTCATTTTCCCATAGCCATATTTTTATTTATTATCAGTTCTGTTTTGAATGCTGGTTAAGATCAAACTGACTATGAATCTGTCATTACAAACAATTGTTGCATCACCTAAGTATGGAAGCAGTAAATTTATTTATTTCTTTAGGTATTTATGTGATTTCAATATCAAATATTTATCCTGTATCTTTGGATTGGGCAGGCTACTGTTCAAGAACTAATGCTGCTAGTTTTTCTAGGTCACAGTCTAAAAGTAGGTCTTTGCAATCTACTTGATCTACATATACAAATGATGACGCACCTTCTAAAAGAACTTCTCAAAGTGTGGGAAAAAAAAATGATGACCTTCAGTGTAACTGAAGTGTAACTTCATTTTTATGAAATTCTTTAGACAATGATTCATGGATATGATAGTCTATCATCACATAAAAAAGCAAAATTATTTTCAGACCTTACATGACTTTTAAAAGGCCAATGGGTGAAAACTGTTTCACTGAGATTTGAAATGACGCAGGTGCTCTAAGCAGAGATAGCAATAATCAAAGCTCCTGCAGTGTTTTTCATCTGTTGATCTCAAGGTACTTAGACAGTAAAGTCTGTAGGTAGGGAAAGTATTGTATAGATGTGGAAGTCATTAGCTATAAAGCTAGACAGATAATTTTTTCTTAGAAAAAGGAAAGCCTAAAGAAGCTGGGTTATGATTCAAGTCACACTGCTGATATGAAAAGATGAAGTCATTGCAAGTGTAATCAGTATTTTGAAGGGGGCAGCAATTTTTAAACATCAAAAGCACTAACATTAAAGCAAGCAAAGAAATTGGGGGTGGAGGGAAGTCCTCCATAAAAAAGCTAGCTTGCACCGATTCACTGTGCCACATTAGGCAGAAGTATAGTTCTGTGTGTGTTGTCCTAGTAGGAAATACCTGATGATTGCTAAAATATTAAGTGCAAGTTGGCAGCACCAAAGGGCCTGAACTGCCCTATTGGATGATTACCTTTCCTCCCCCAATTCTTAAAGCAGAATGGATGGCAGTTTCAGATTGAATATATATTTTCCATCTGCTGAACAGTTGTTTTTGTTCATGCTGTTTGAGGTTAACTGTGCACGTACTAATCAAACCCACTACTTCCTTTCTCGTAAAACCAAAACAAAGCTTCATATTACTTTCAGGTACAGCATCTGGGATCAAAGCTATATATACACACAGTTACTCTGTGTGGGTTCAAACATTTCGAAGATTCAGTATCCTGAAAGGTGTCGCCTTTTTTCCAGTCCTGAGAGTTCCAGTTTGTCTTAAAGTCTGAAGGCATCAGCCACCTTCAGCCCCTTCAGCATCTGTCCCAGCGCAGGAATGCTCTCAATATTGGTCACCGTGGGCTTTCTCTGCACAGCCAGTGCCGTTGCTGAAGGTGGGTAGATGAAGGAGGCAAGGTAGCTGGGGGTGTCTACATTTTCTTGGTTGCACATCTTTGCAAGAGATGGACTGGGTACAACAGGGAGAGAAAGATGACATGGGACCCCTCCATAGGACAGTCTGGGGACAAGGTCTTGGGGCACCGCGAGGTATCTGGAAAACCATAGACAGACTTTAGAGCAGTAGCATCTGTAGAGAGTCTGGGCAGGATTCAGAGTAGCTCAAGAAGGAAGAAAGATTTTGACAAACCAGGCCCTGTGAGTGAAGTTGTTGGCAGCTGATAATGTGGATATAGAGGTTTGAATGGATGGAGAAATTCTACTCCTCTTCGTCCCAAATTCTTGCACTGCAGAACTGACGAAGATAAGCCCTGCCCCAAAATAGACTGATATAAAATGAAATTGAACAAATAATACTGAATCTTCACAGCTTATTAAAGCAAAAGTTGGTGCCTTCCCATTGTGTAGCAGGATAGAGTATAGAAATTGTAAAAAGCAGCCAGTGGGGATGTACATGGTACACTAGTTTCCCTTTAAGATCTGTAATGATTTTTTGCAGTATGTTTATCAGGCTTTGCTGTGTGTTGCTATACTGTGGCTTGGGGTATATACTGTTGCTGTACTTTGGCTTGGGAATAGCTGGTTAAAGATGAGGAGCAAAAAGATCAGAAACAAAAGTATGCAAACAGGTTTTCCATCCAGTTTTACTGTTACCCTAATGGTTCTGTTCCGTGTTCCATACAGGATGTCAACCTGTTTGTTTCTAAATGTGAACATGCTTATTTCTACCAGGCAGAAATTGTGGTTTAAATGCCTAACTTTACATATCAAATTTCAGCTTTACCATCTGAAATCTGTTTTTTTTTTCTTTCTTATGTATATTAAAAAGTTTGTGTTGAGGGAAACTGAAGTGTGCAGGTCATTGCTCCAGTAAGTGGGCCAAATTACCTACTATTTAAGCAACAAGTAATTGCTGAGATGTATAATATCATTTATAGTAATCAAAGCACTTCTTGAGCTTTTTTAAGTATATTAATGCAGTGCCTGTGTGAATTGTGGTCTTGGAGTCCTTTTTTTGGAAGGATTTAGCAGCATTTCTAGGAGTTATGCATGGATAATAGGAGGTGGTAGGACTCCCTTCCTATTGCGCAGGTTTCAAGCAAATGACTGCAGATCATTTCTTGACAGTTCACTTACCGTCATACTGTTTACTTCCTTACAGTAATGGAAGTGACTCAGCCAGCAATGGTGCTGGCCAACAGGCAAGGAGTCGCCAGCTTGGTGTGTAAATACAAGCACATTGGGAATGCAAAGGAAATTCGAGTGACTCTGCTTAAACAGACGGGTGACCAGTTCACTGAAATTTGTGCTTCAACCTACACAATGGAGTTTAAAATGTTCAGTGTGGAAGAGGTCATTCAGTGCCATGTTAGCCCTAGCCGAAACAATGTGACCCTCACCCTCACTGGCCTGCAAGCTAATGATACCGGTCTTTACGTCTGCAAGATGGAGCGGATGTACCCTCCACCTTATTTTATGAACAAGGGAAATGGGACGCATCTCTATGTCATTGGTAAGCCAAGCAGCTTTATAGTACTGTGATATCCCAGGTTAAGGGAGTTGCTATTATGTCTCAAAGGTCTTCAAAGTTCTGTTTGTAAGAAGTGAAGCTGAACACCGATTCAAGCTCTGAGAATGATGATTACCTCTTATTCCTTTCAGGTCTCCCTGCACACCCCTAAAGCAGGCATAGTCATACCCATGCAATGTATTTAGCAATGTATGGATGTTTGACAGCATAAGCAATACCATATAGTGTACATGTATGTCTAGGCAGTTAGGTATGTAAGTGCAGAAATAGCGGAGAGTAAGGTGCATGTTCTTCTACAGATAAAGTCTATTTTCACTGGAGGTTGAGTGGGCAGGGACCCAGAGCTCAGTCCCGGTAGTAGCCTGGGATAGCATATGCTAGAGAAAAGCAGTGTAGAGGCTGACTTATTGACTCTAGGGGCTTCCTTATGAGGCTCATGTGTGACATGACTTGTGTGATATCATATGTTTTAGATCCGGAACCTTGTCCAGACACTGTCATATATCTCTGGGTATTAGGAGCTACTGCTTCAGGATTTTTTCTTTACAGTATCATCATCTCAGCCATTCTCGTGGGCAAAGCGGTAAGTCCCATCAACTCAGCCCCATCCTGCTAATAACACCCCTTTGTGTGATGAGGACAAAGAGAATGAAATGAGAACAGGGAAGAACACTGGGAACAAACGTACTGGGATGCTCCTTTTTACTGGTGCAATGCTGTTACAATAAAGCAAAATAAGAGAACTTGCTGGAGCTGCCATTTGGATTTGTTTATGGCTCATTTGTGTTGCCAGAGTACCAGAAAGCAGTCAGCTTACATCAGCTGGACTGACCTTGGCTTAGGTTTGGATGCTCAGAACAGGTTGGAGTCCTGGATGCTTCTGGGATCAAAGGCAACAGTCTCCACGTGTACTCTGATTTCACAACTGATTCATACAAAATCCCAGGATTTGATTTTTCCTTTTCTCACCATTCACCTCTGTGCAAAGCAAATTTAAAGAAGTTTCCCCTTGTGATGGGGGAGAATTGTAACTTACAGCATTTTTAACTTCACAGCTAGAAATGTCTGCACAAAGACAAACACACGCGAAATGTAAGCCTGGGTTGCCTCTTTCCATGCTGGTCTGGAGTACTCATAGTCTGTTAGAAATAAACCGGATGTCAAAGCTTAAAACTAAACAGTATCCCTGTCCCATATTTTTCAATCCGCCCTTGTCCCTAGAAGCTAAATGAAACTGACCAGTGTGAACACTCATAATTTTGAGCCAACACTGAACTCTGCAGCAGGAGCACCTTCAAAGGGCTAAATGAATGGCAGGACTCTGTTTTTTGCTAAATGGCCCCTGTAACTCCTGATTCTCCCTCAAATGGTCTCAACGGATCTTCTACAAAGAGGGGTGATAGGGAAAGGTGTCTAGAATACCTTCTACTCAGTAAAGGCAGAACATCCATCAGTTTTCTCTAAAATGTGCTGGTCAATGATTATGCTGTGATCACTTATTTATTTTACTACCTTCCCATATTTTATAGATAAAGAGAAGACGATGTCTCACTACTGGGGTCTATGTGAAAATGCCTTCTGAAAAGCTAGAGAAAAAAGTGATTCCATTCCACATCACTGTTAACTGAAACAAGGAACGAGAGAAACTGTTTCCTAGCTCGGATGGAGAGTCTGCTAATTCACTTAAGTTAAAGAAATAAAATTAATTGTCTTATTAAAAGGTGTATGGGAAGGAGAGAGAATATTCTTTGTAACTTCTATGGTTTGGAGGAGAATAAATAGTTTATGCATTAATATTTCAAGGTTAACCCTGTCACATAAAAATGGCTACATTAGGCCATTGATTCTTTGAATTGTATTGTACCAATAGTCTGCTAATTCACTTAAGTTAAAGAAATAAAATTAATTGTCTTATTAAAAGGTGTATGGGAAGGAGAGAGAATATTCTTTGTAACTTCTATGGTTTGGAGGAGAATAAATAGTTTATGCATTAATATTTCAAGGTTAACCCTGTCACATAAAAATGGCTACATTAGGCCATTGATTCTTTGAATTGTATTGTACCAATATGTAGTCTATATAATATACATATATATATGTATAGCATTAAGAGCTATTGCTGTTGCAGCTGAGCATCTTACTGTCAAATTTCACCGTCTACTGATGAAAAGCTAGAGAAAAAAGTGATTCCATTCCACATCACTGTTAACTGAAACAAGGAACGAGAGAAACTGTTTCCTAGCTCGGATGGAGAGTCTGCTAATTCACTTAAGTTAAAGAAATAAAATTAATTGTCTTATTAAAAGGTGTATGGGAAGGAGAGAGAATATTCTTTGTAACTTCTATGGTTTGGAGGAGAATAAATAGTTTATGCATTAATATTTCAAGGTTAACCCTGTCACATAAAAATGGCTACATTAGGCCATTGATTCTTTGAATTGTATTGTACCAATATGTAGTCTATATATATATACATATATATATGTATAGCATTAAGAGCTATTGCTGTTGCAGCTGAGCATCTTACTGTCAAATTTCACCATGTCTACTGATCAACTGAAATCCAAACACTATTACGACAGAGGCTTGTGTGTCATTGCAAGGCTAATTCTATAGGTCTGGGGGGCAGAGGCAGAAGAGCACACTAATGTACAAAGGAATGTTGACTTGTTTCCCTGCATTGCTATTTATTGGTCCCATTTCTGGCATTAGTGCTCTGCACTTCCACAGAGGCATCACCATAGGCTGGCACTAATGACACTGCTGCTCTAAAAGCCTGATCTCAGCTCCTTTCACTGGCATTGTGTCCCAGCAGTGCCGTGCTGGAGTTAACATCGATGATATCTGAGCCAGTGCTGACAGCTCAGTTGGAGAGGAAGGCTGCCCAGCAGGAGCCCTCTTAGGCTGTTGCTGGGAGGATGTTCCAGCTTTGCTGGGGCCTTGCATTTTACAAATGCTAAATTAGCATCTATCAAAAAGGCAGAAGTATGTTGCTGTGTTTAACTGAGTCTATTTTCCATGAAAATACCGACAGTGTATAATCTTGTTTATTAGTTATGTACCATTCAATAAAAACCTTGAAGCTTTGCCCAAATTCAAGTTCATTTCTTATTCACCGTTCTCAGAAGAAACAGGAAGTGGCTACATGTTAGAAAGCAGCGATGACAAGATGAACCTTTCCCCTCTGACCCTGTGTTTTGCCCTTCTGAGGGAGCCTGTGTGCTCATGCCAACATTTACTTTCTCAGCTCTCCTCCTCAGGAGGCCACCATTAAAATCTGTCAAATCTTCTATTTGTCTAGTTAGAGCTGCTGTGATGTGGTTGAGAGATGCTACCAATCACCTTTTCACTTCCAGCAAAGTTACTTACTTGCAGAAGGTAGCTGTAACAACTTTGACAGCATCTCCTGTACATGTTTATACAAAAAGCTAGTCCTAGTTTCAAATCCTGTTTTCTTTGCACCTCTTTGACACTCTCACTCACTAAATGCTAGCCGACACACAAAGCTGCTGGAGCTTAAAACAATTTCAGCATTCTCTACCACCTACTACTTTGACTCTTTGCTATCAAAATTTCACCTTGCAACCCAAAAACTTGGCAGCATGTGTCTCTCTTTCACAGCTGTGAACTCATCTTCTTGGCTCCATAACTGCGAACCCAAACCCCACAGCCCTCTACGCCATGTTCCTGCAGTGGCAGCAGTTCCCACAACACCAAATCTCATTGCTCTTTTGGTTCGCTTTTCCCCTCTTGCCCCTTCATCTGGCACCACCTCCAATTGTACAAATAAACATTCACATTCTCAATTTGCCAGTGTTTGCAGGTGCTAACTGCTCTCTCAGTGTTGACCTACAATCGTAGTGCCTTAAGTAAAAGTAGCATCTGATGACATACCCTTTTTCTGAAGACGTTTTAGTATTCTGACATCAGTCTGGAATTTTCCGCCTAATTTTCCACTAACCTGGTGTTTTGGGGATAAAAAATGGTCAAAGATCACACATCTGATGTCACTGCAAAATGATTGAATTTCTGCCTATTCAAGTGCAGCCTGCTCAGAGAAATGTGTTCCATGATTGGTAAAAATAGATTTGATCCACACATCCACTTGTACAAGCTGTAAACGCTTCCAATAAATTTACACTGGCAAAGCAAGAATAATTATCCAGGGCAATTTTTTTCCACCACAGCAAGTAGTAGCTCAGATATCCCCTGAATCGTGTGTCTGACTCCTAATCAGGAATCAACTGTTTTTTCTTTTCCTTGACAATTCCTATGCACTGGGACCAAGAACTTAGTTTTCTTAAGCAATCTAAAAGCAGCTCAAGTAAATTATTTTCTAAGTTTATCCCTCCTGGGTGAAGAGATGCTTTGGAGCTCTATCAACAACCTCATGACCTCTGGCCACAGCTGGCTGTGAATCTGTGTCACTGTATAACCTGTGTATATTCCAATTCACCTTCATTTCTGGCAGCTAAGTTGACCATTGTTAGGCCTTCCGCATCCACATGGACTAATCCTTGAGAAATTCAGCCTGTAATGACCAGTGAAGAATTCTGCCCTAAATAAGCCGCAGGTTGCTAAATTACCTGAATAGTGAAGGTTATGGGAGAGCAGAGCAGAAACGATCATCTCGCATATGGCAATAGCAATATTTTGTGTTTGCTCCTGCACTTAAATAATTCCTGGTATGATGTTTATTAATTACCCTATTGGAAATTACTTTGCCCAAATTCTCTGGCCGTTCTGAACTTCTCTTTATCCTCAGCAGCTACTTTTTCCAACCTTCTCATATTTCTGCAGTGCTTAATTTTCTCTGGCTTTCCTTACCACTGTAGCAGCCTTCCCTGAGCTAAATGTTATATAAGTACGCATTATTATTTTCGTTCTAAGCCAGGTTTCCCTTTTGAATTTTCTGGCAGGGTAATAGGTGCACTCAAATCAGCAGATGTAGCAGTGAAGACCAAAGTGGGATTTCAGTTCAGATTTTATTGGCAATGATACTCTTGTGATTTATATCTGGCACTACAGAGATGAGTGGAGCCTAAGTGTCCGCAGAGATGATATTTATACCTGTCTCCATGTGGTCCATATAGCGGCTAGCTCTGAAGAATGCAGAGCGCAGACCTCAGGGAATTTCCATTCCGCTGATGCCCTGTGCTGCCCTCAAGGACCTTGAGCTCTGTGCTTTTCCCTGATACTTGGAGAGCATTTTGCCATGATCAGCACTCAAAAAAATTTGAGATATGCAAGTCAGATATAGTTTTCTGTCAGTACCAATATGAAAGGTGCAAACTCTAGGTCAGTGCACACCCCAGAAAATGCAATAAAGAGGAAATCCTGACTCTTTCTGGGAAGAATGTGAAAAGCAAAGGCGAAAGGATTTGGTCTCAGAACTCTGCTCATTAGAACAGGGAGTTTAAAAACATAACTGAATATCTTACCTGGACAGCCAAATAGCGAGACCATACTGCTTGGTGAGGTTCAGGAAAAGTCTCTTTTGATGTGCCCTTCACCCAGCTAGGAGATATGTCAACCTGTTTGTGAAACAGAGATAGTGAGTTTCTGGCTGCATCTGAGTGGGCATTCACAGGTATACCTGTCTGCATCAAACAATGGCATATATAAATACCCCCCCCCCCTCCAATATTCTACTTTC